GTATGCAAAGTAATGTTGAGTATTGAACCTAGGACCATGTGTATGCAAAGTAGATGTTCTGTGAATAAACCATAGCCAGGTAGACCCCTGAGGAAGTGGAACATCACACCAATTGATTGGAACTCATAGTATTCTAACTACCTCTTTCTAGAACAAAATGAGATGACACTATATGCTTATAGATAATACTACCACAAAGGCACATCTGAAATACCAGAGAGGACAACATCATGAGACCTATACAAGGAAGTGATTGGTATCCATGGGTTAGGAAAGCATATCCAGGGCCTTCTCAACATGTAGGCAATTACATAAGAACTGAGCAGCTGAATATTTTGTCTTCTAATGAAAAGATTACTTCTTCACAGGTGGGCAAATTCACGTTGCTTCAAACCATAAAATAAGAAATCCAACCCAAAGCTCCTTTGCAAGGAGCTGGAAGAGTCATTATTTTGTCTGTACCCTGTCCAGAAGGTCTCTCTGTGCTCTGTGCACAAGTTTTACAGAAAGAGAGCCTTCAAAGGGCCGAAGCAATCTTCACAGTACTACACAAGGCACAGAGAGCCTTACTCTCAGAGCTATGGCAGTAGAGCCACTGTGATTCCTTCTGATGGAGGAGGTTGTTCTTCAACAAGACCTGATTCCATCTAGGTTCAGGTTGACTGCGCCTGACAGCCTGGATATTATTAAGCACAGGTTGAATGCCTTTGAGTACAAAACATACGAAGTCAACACAAGATTTCCTTGTGGTTTTAGTTTGTCCCTCAAAGTCTTCATCTTTCTGTTTCCTGTGGCAATTGAAAACATAAGCTGGGCAGCTGCTTGGCCCTGCAGCTGTTTTTACTTCAGCTCAGCCCAGCAGGGTGTGTCCTTCACCCCATCAAGCATATTATGTTTTTTTTATAAGAGTGGTGGAATCCACTGGAGTTTCTCCTTGCCAGCTCTCAGATGGTTTACCTAGAAGCAAATATCTTATTGAAGTAAATGCTTGCCCCCTATATGCAGCATTTGTCATCTTTAATACCAAGAAGCCTGTGTGTTTGCGTGATTTACCCTCAGCTAAGCAGAGATATATTAAAAATTTACATACAGAATTTCTCAACTTCTTGTTTTAAGTGCTTCCTGTTTTAGCCCATCTATCTGCCACTTTTCTTTAATGAGGATACTTTGTTTTCACCCTGACCTGGATGGCCCAGCCTAGTCCAACCTCATTAGATCTGGGAAGCTAAAGAGGGTCAGCCCTGGTTAGTACTTGGAGACCACCAAGAAAGTCCAGAGTTGCTATGCAGAGGCAGGCAGTGGCTAAACACCTCTGGACATCTCTGCCTTGAAAACCCTATGGGGTTGCCATAAGTCAGCTGCAATTCAGTGGCACTTTTGACCATCACTTTTTCACTTGTCTGTTGAGTCAGAGTAGATATTACATTAGTAACTTCTGAGACTATTTAAGACAGGTGTTTCTGAGTCACCAAGAATACTGATTGAATATGTCTGATCTATGCTGAGCTAGTGGCAAACATCTGAACTAAGACCCAGTTCAAATCCCCACATTGCTGTACAATTCACTGAGTCATTGTGAGGATATAATAGGGAAACAGTTATATAAATTTGAACTCCTTGGAGGAACAGTGAAATATATATATACAAGAGGCAGGACCCGCAATACTCGTGGGGGGGGGAAGTAATCAGTAATCAGACAGAGGAGGAAGCAACAGGAGGAGGTAAGCTTCCCCCCCATCCCGCAGGTTCCCCCCGTCTCCTCCACCCCCCGGCTCGATCCCCCCCAGCTCCAAATGGACCTTGCTCCCAAGTAAAGCGGGCACAGCACTGCAGGCTAAGGTAGAAATTCTACGATAGTGAGAGACCGAGGGGGAGACAGGGGGACGGAGCCACGCTACAGCGGGGGCCAGAGTGGTGCAGGAGGACTCCTCACCTTGGTAGTAGTAGCCACCCAAGTCAGGGTCCAGCATGCGAGCGACTGAATGGGGCAGGCTTATTGGGGTGAGCGAGTAACCCGAGGAGAGGGGGGAGCGCCTCCGCCACAACCGAGTCTTTGGAGACCGAGGATGAGGAGAGGGAGTGGAGGGGGGGTGTTGGCAGGGAGTGAATGGCGCGAGATAGTAGGAGGGGTCGGCGGGCGCGTTGGTTGGCGCTGAGCATGCGCGGCGTGGCCTTGCTGAGGCTGGTTGGCTGTGCTGGCGGCTCTTCGGACGGGGGGGCGCTGATTGCATGATCCAGCGCGCAGAGCAAGCGAGTGTGTGAAGGAAGGGAGCGGAGGGGATCCGGGTGCTGCTGGTGTGTGCTTGGTGAGTGAGGAGGGACCGTGGCAGAGCCTGACGCCTGCTTGGTGGGTCGGAGGAAGGCAGCATGCGGGTTGCAGCGCCCCAGGCGCGTGTGGTGATTAGCTTCTTGGCGTTTGGGATCTTGCAGGTTACCCACTGCCTGTTGAGTGAGGTAGGGGGTCGAGAGACGCCGGTCTCTCCCCCCCGCTCCGAAGTGGCGGCGGCAGCGAGGCGGGGCACAGAGCGTTCCCTGCGCATGCGCAGTGGACGCTCTGTTACTTTTGGGGGGATTTAAGTATCCCCCCCAATATTTTTTTCAGAGTTTCAGATTTTTGTGCACACCTGGGGACTGGCCCAAGTGTGCACGAAAATCTCCCTCCCCCCTAGGTGCCCCGGATGCGCGGATTTAGGTATCCGCATGCACGGGGGCATCTTCGGAATTAGATATATAGATTACTTGGGCTCCTGCTCACTTCCTGATAGCTGTAGGTCAATTACTATGCTTAGTAGCTTCAAAACTTTACTCCCACTTTGTGCCAAAACACGTTAATCATATGCCATAGATGTTCCACTGTCCAAAGTTATTTACCAGTTCAGTTATTCATAGCTCATCACCCTCACAAAATGTCAGTTATCTGAGCCACAACTACCTAATGCCATTTTGTTTGTTGCTTTCCAGTACACTTTCCAGTTTGTCCTAAATCCAATTTACATGGATGTTCTTCTGGATATTTCTTTCATCCTCTAGACTTATGAGAACGAACTATTCTTATATACACTTGTATCCATTTTCCCAATACTATATCAAATTCCAAGCACATTACTGTTTCCTAGTGTATCTTAGTGCATGTTCATTGCAGTAGTCTGCTTATATCAGACTTCCTAGAGCCACAAAATCTGCCAGGGAACAAGAGGATTCTCTAGTGCCACCTCTCTGAAGTATGCTGTGTTCTTATTGACTCCAAAAAAGTGTCACTAATTGAAATGCAATTGGGTTGTTTTGGTTGTAGAGAAGGCACAGCACTGTTCATCAAGGTGCAAAAAACAGGAAAGCCACAATTTAAAAAAAATTAAAAAGAAACAATGTAAAGGAAGTATGGCAGCTCTTTGCACTTTTCCCCTCTTTACATTTAGTATGTATTTATTGCAGAATGAAGCTGCTGTTTCATCTGCTGAACATTAGAATTATGCCCACTTTACCTTCTTAGACTTGAGGTTGAAGAAATGGTCCTTAGTCAGCAGTACTAATTGCAAAGTAATTCATATGACACTATGTTCATTTTAAGTTCTAGGAAACTTAGAAGAGTTGCACTCTTGAATAGATCTGGTCAAAACATTTTTGGCTTCTGGAAATGTCATATGCCCTGAATAAGTGCCATTTTTGTGAATTACACATGCTTCCTTGAGACAGCTGTTTGCATGCAGAGCTGTGTGCATTGTGCACGGGTTCACCAAACGAGCAGAGAATTATGTATAAATTAAGCATCCTGAGGATTCTAGTTTTGTTGCTCTGTCAGCTCTTGGCCTCAGTTTTGAAAAGCCAAGACAACATTCGGATGTCCCAGTAAACCATGGTTTGTTTAACATGTGGTTTATGCAACAAACTCTAGTTAATCTACCATACATAAGTCTTGGATCCTCCTTTATAGCATTTTTACCATGTCACTTTCATCTTGGAAGTAGAAAGATTATGCAAAGAAAATATAAGCAAATATGATTAGTTTGCATACGTGCAGAATTTGTATATTCTTGGTGCAGCATTTGTGTTGACCTTGTAGCCTAGACTGTCTTATGGCTCTTCCCTTCCAACTGCTTTTCCACACATTTCATGGGAACATCCCACTCATGTTCAAAACCCACATATCATCTCTCTCACTGAGGGTATGGAAACTTCTAGCTGATGGATTCAGTTGGAGGGTTTACTCATTTTTGCCCAAGATCTTTTTCTGTTACAAAAGTGAAACGAGGCCTCAATAAAATTTTATTGTATTGTCACATCATTTTTAGGGGACAAAAAAAAAAAAACAAATCCAAAGAAATCCAGAGAGACTGTGAGAGCTAGTTGAGAGGACAATGGGGACCAAGCAGGATTACAGTCTCTGCATACCAACCACTAATACCATGGTTCCCTTTTCTTAAATCGTAATAATAATAAATGGTAGAATGTTTACTCCTAAGGCTTACCAGATATACTGAAATGTTTCAAAGGTTGAATACAGATAACTGTGTACCAAACGGAAACTTGTCATGGAGTGCACACAATAACTTGGTAATCTGATCATCTGTATCATTTTGCTAAATGGCAGGAAAAGCTTTACATAATTCTGCACTTAATAATGAAACCATTTTGTCAATGTGACCATGCAGAAGATTTCTTTGATTAATCAACCTGATTTCTACAACATATGTTCACATACCTCAAGTGACTCCATTATACTTAAAACCAATTATTTTGCTGCTTAAGTCACTTCACTACACCGTGAGCTATTTCCCAATAAACTTTGTTTCCAGACTCTGATCACTACCAAGTAATAAGTGCAGCCATCGAGTGAGGCCAGAAAGTAGTTGTCATGGTTTAACATCCCTGGGATTATTGCCAATAGCCTTGAAAGCTTCCATCTGTTTCACCGAAGTTGTAATTCTGAAAAGTAATCAATAGGTAATAGTTTGCACCAACAGATCTTTATCCTTCTATCTATTTGGTATTCCAAAGGCATGTTAATAGGGTAATGGCTATGTTCTTAATAGTCTTGGACTAGTCCACAAGGCCTGGCGGCAAGTAGCATAGCTGGCTTTGCACAGGAGGACTAGCTGCTCTCACTACTGTTCTCCATTCTTGGTGTGACTGTTATATGTTTCAAGTTGAAGCTTGAGAGGCAGACTGACTTTTTAATTACAAAACTAGCATAATAAGAGCAGGGAAAGAAGAGGGATGTAGGGGTCAACTGGCAGCTCTGGTATAAACTCCCAATGCTCCCTTGCTTATTGCAAGCAATGAATGTCTTTTAATTTAAACCAGTTTATCTTCAAGCATGCTCATTTAAATGGATTCTGGATTAGATGAGGCAGTGGAGACCTGGGAGCAGAAGATGTCTGTTAGTAATACACCTTACAAAAAGACTACGTCTATTGTGCCACCTACAGCATGTTTTAAAAATAAGCATAATCTGCTGCTGGACATTAAAAACACCCTGCCAAATACACATTCTTTGTGTACATTTCTGTTTCCTGTAAGGTCTGTCTTGGAAATGTCTTGCTGAAGTGCATTTGTTGGTTTGTCTCAGCAAGCTCTGGAAGTGCCTGATGCAATCTCATGGTCAATGTGGTGTGACCAAAGAGTCACACATAACCTTGCCTTACATCAGTGTTTGCATTGTGTGCTAAATGGACTGTAAAACCAGATTAACCTGAGGTTGTTAAAACATTTTAAGCTAAATTATTACCTTATATACACTGTCTCTGAGAGACAAGCACTGAATTTCTGATAGAGAATGGATTAGATGAGAACACTAGATTCAGATCAGTTTTAAAAATCAGAATGGTCAGCTCCTGATTCAGAATGTAATCCAAAAATCACAATTCAGGTCTATGTCTGAATCACTCTGCAAACAGCCCCAGTTTGTTTAGAATAACTGAATTTGACATTAGATCTAAATTTTTATCTGCAGGCATACTTATAGTTCAGTGCTACACCATCCTTCTCACAATTTTAGTTGTGTAAGTATTATTTGGCAAAGCAGTCAGAAGAAAATTAAAAGACTGACTCAGAATTTGGAGTCCAGATATAAATCTGTCTTCTTAAATTATTATGATACAAAAAGAAAGGTTAGTTAGGATTGCAGCCTGGTAGTGGGACATGTTCATGTCTGATCTTTCAACACAGAACTACAAGTAAAATACACAACTTGCTGTGCCAAAGCACCAAAATGGTGCAGACTTTAAAATTACATATACAACATAATCTATATAAAGAAGGAAGTAGTACATTTACAAAAAAATTCTTCTGAAAGAAACTTTTGAAGATTTTTTTCTCCATCCTGTCTTTTGAACTGAGAAGGCACTAGGAATGCAGAGTGGAAATTCTTAGGTTCCTGTGCCTTTCCTTAAGGCTTGTGGTGGTGGTGAGGTTGCTCCCCATACAATCAAGAAATCATACATCTCCTCCCATCCCGTGTAGACAATCCCGATGTACTACAGAAACATGTTGCTGCAATAATTGTCCATAAAATCATCACCTTCTCTGTGAAGTATAATACGATGCCTGCAGAATGCTAGAAGGGTCCAGTATTTCATTATCTTCCTGAACAGAATTTCTAAGAACAAGGAGCACAGCAGTGAATTTGAAGTGCCAGACAAGCACCAACACCCTGCTGGTATTTCTCTCTTTTACAGGAACCCTTACTAAAGCCTTTCTCCACCCACCACCCACCAAGTAGCAAGCAAAACCTTGTCCATAGATTCAGTGGAGACATTCTACCTAGGAGATGTTATTAGACATCCATCAGGTTTGGTGAATCAGGAACAGGCTCTGAAAAGGAGAAACAGTGCTGGTTAGTGCATTGTCTCTGAGTACCTGAGCAAAGGTCAACCAGTGAGCTTCATGACTAAGCAGAGGTTTGAGCCCAGTCCAGCATTCTAACCACTACGAGCCTTTCTGCACTCGTCTGTTCCTCTGCAGTTTGTCCACAGCCACACTGGAAGCAGAATCTCCCTCTGCATTGCATCCCACTCTCACTTTCCTCCTGCATCACAGCTCTTTCCAGATTCTACATTGTTTTAAGGCTGTTTGGAGTTGACTTCGCAGTCATTATGGTGTTACCCCGGGGTATCGGAAAGTGGTTTCTCCCCAGACCTTTTTCCTCTTCAGTTTCCGATTTGGAGGGAATAATAAGCCAACTGCATGATGCAGCTTTAGTCGTCTCCGCCCATTTCCCCGTTCCAATTTCCACTTTATTTTGATGCTTCCAGCTTTGGGGGGGGGGGCATTTGACACACTCCTCCATTCTTTGCACACTGGATCCTAGGGAGGGATCTTTCCCCCCTTCCCCAAAGCCAATCTGCACACAACTTGGACAGCAAATAGAGGGGCAACCTGGGGAGGTCCTCTGTGAGTTTGATGCTTCTAGCTTGCAGGGGAGGTGTTTGACACACATCTCCCTACCTTTGCACATTGGACTCTAGGGAGGGATCTTTTCCCTTTCCCTCAAAGCCAATCTGCACACAACTTGGAAGGGGGTGTATTAAAAGGAATGACAGGATAGCCCATTGGAAACAATGGGAGAGGCTTGAAGGCCCATTTTAAAAAAAAAATTAAAACCCTTGGGATGTCACCCCTCCCGATAGACAGACCAGCCAACCAGCTGCCAAGCTGGCATCCCTCTATGGGTTGCCCATGCCTGGAGTAGCCCAGTGGCAGCTAGCCAAAGGGGGTTGGAGAGCGAGGAGGAGAGGAGAGAAAGGGGAGAGTGCAGTGTGCCCCATCCCTTATTCATGCACTTGGCTAAGTCAGTGGCAACTGGATGCCTCCTCCACAGATCACAAGTGACATTAACTACAATTAAGCAAAAAATGCGGGGTTTGGTTGTAGATGCAGAATGCATGCAGAAAAATAAACTGGAGAAAAAAGAATAGTGCCGAGGGCAGGGACACAAAATACGAAGTTAACCTTAAAGGCTCGACTGCTCGGATTCTCTGGAGTAAGCTACAGTGAGCTGTTAGTACAGAAAGGACCTACATCACTCTGGCTGTTCAGAGCTAGCAGTCACAGCTTGCCAAGTCTTTAGCTGGAGCCATTGACAAACAGCCTTTTTACAAACAGAACATACAGCATCACGCCCTTGCACCAACTAAGAGTCCAGAAGACATCTCAAGCTTCCATGGGGCTTACCTTCATCCTCTTATACCCAATGCTCACAAACTGAATCTGGTTCTTGACCAGGAAGCCAATTGATGACTGTCCCACAGACTCAAGAGAAAATAATGTAAATCTGGGAGCTCTTGGCGGGGGGAGGGGAATGTGGTGAAGACTGCTGCACAGTCCTGATTTTTCCCAATTCTGCCCATGAGGGATTGGAAAATGTTTAGGGGCATCAGTTAACAGCATTCCCCGCTGATCTCGGCATGAGAAAAGCACCATGCACCTGAAGTGCCTGCCCAGGTGTTCCTTCTGAACAAAAGTAGACATTTTTGCACAGTTAGTTAAGGAACAGATATGTGATACTACCCCCATTAGATACTTACCCAGCGTTGGGAAGAAACATTCCCCGGCACTTGGAGGTGAGAGTGGAGTGTTGGGTTCTGAAAGCAGATGCCGATCTGACTCTGACTGTTGTCGACTGGCCATATAAGTTAACTGAGGCCTGGGCTTGGATTCCAAATTAGCAGAAGGAACATCATCAAAGACGGGATTCTCGATGCCTTGGGCATTACTGTAATAGAGAGCACAGAACCTGATTGCCTACATCAGTTTAAGTCCTCTCTCCCCCACCATCTCTTTCCCTTTAATGGAAAAGGCCACATGACTCTGAGGCTGCTTTTGAAATCCTTCTATTTGAGACCTTGGGGTGAAGAAAAAGGAGGTGTACTTTCAACATGTATTCAGTGATGACTGGCAGGCTTGACTTGAGCCGAGATAGGGCGATTAATAAATCTAATAAATAATAAAATAATAATACTAAGATAAGCCTGGATTTACTTCTGCTGAAATACTCTCTCTCTTTTTAGTTTATCCATTCTAAAAAGTTAATTTCTCAAAGGAAATCAGATGTATTCTGCTTATGTCAGTAGTGGCACCAAGATTAACATCTGTCCTTCAGTTTCTTGTTGATCCACTTGGTTTCTGTTGACCTGTGAAACAGCAGTGTGGGTTCAAGTAACCAGTTTAACACTTTCAGTCAGATTATTTTAGAACCAAGGGGATCACAGTTTTGTTTTGTTCAGTGCAAGCACCAGAACATGCATTAGTGCTCAAGCAAGAAAGCTTCACTTTAGATGGTTGGTCTGGCAAGTTTAGTAAGTAGGGAACACAGAAAGGGCAGCACAGGAAGACTGGGTCTGAGTTCGTTCTTTCCTGCTAGCACAAGAAGCTGTTTGGTTATTTTGTACTGGGATTATTTGGCTTGGAGAGCAGGCCTCATATCCATTTCAGCCTGATCCACATACATGTCTATAAATCAGTACAAGGCAATGAGACTGGCCAGTCTTGGGACACAGACTTGACAAGGGAGCATGGTATTCTCTTCCCCATTATTGACTTGATGTTGCAACCTACTCAAAACACTCTGAAGCAGAAAGCTTCAGATGAGCAAGATCCCTTTTTGAATGTGGAGGGAGGCTAGTACTCTCTAGGAGTTTCTCCTCCTTCCTTAGACAGCTACTGGGGGGTTGGCTGTGGCTGAGATTCCCATAGAATGATGTGGGAGAAGTTAAACAAACCTGTGGCACACAGGCCTTCAGCTTCCAGTCAAGTAGGAACATATAATGCCACTTTTTAGACCGCTTCACTGGTTCCTAATTAAGTTTCAGAGCCCAGTTCAGTAGCTACTCAGGTAGTGGCCAGTGTGACTCAAACCTTGAAAGCATTAAATGACTTGGGCTCAAGAGTATCTCAAAGAGCTACTCTTCTCATATGACATACTCCACTACCCTTGGTAGGTCATCTGGAGAGAGACTGCTTCAGACACAAATATCAGGGAGATTAGTGTGACATTTATTAAGAGAAGGACCTTCTCAATATCCTTCCTATGGAATCCCTTCCTAGAGAGGGCTAGCTAGACTCAGTCACTTAAGGCCTTTTATGAAAAAGGCTTTTGTGATCATAGTGATTTTGGTAGGTTGTGTCTACAATGTTAACATGGACTTTTCAAGTCGTTGCCGGGTTTTGGTGACACTGTGATCTTGTTTGTGTGGTGTTTGTAAGGAAGAGACCAGCTCAGCCACAAAACTGCAACCCTGAATAGCTAAGTGAAGGGTAGAGGTGGGGTTGCAAGTCATTGCGGGAACTGCCCGCTTTTCATCTCACTAAGAGCTGCACGGCTGAGCTATCTTAATTAACAGCTGGACTGAATAGAGGGTCTTTCAGCTTGTTAACATGTTCCTGCCAGAATAAAAGCGGACTTTTTCTGATGGTCTGTGATTATTGTTTTAATGTTTATTATTGTGTTTTAATTTTAAAAAACCTAATTGTATTTATTGCATTGCTAATATGATGTAACCCGCCCTGAGCCTGCTCGTAGGATGGGTGGGCTATAAATACAAATAACAATAAAATAAAATATAATGTGCGTTATTTTGGCAGGGCATTCTCGTTGCCTCTGGGGCTCTTTCTGCACCCATCTGTTTCTCCACTGTTTTTCCACAGCCACATTGGAACGTTAATCTCCCTCTGCATGCATCCCACTTTCACTTTCCTTGTGCATCGGGCTATTTTGGACTTCTGCATTGTTTTCATGGCCATTCAGTGTTGATTTCGCAGTCATTACCCCGGGGTATTTGAAATGGTTTTTGACCGGACCTTTTGCCTCTTCAGTTTCCAATTTGAAGGGAATAATAAGCAACTCTAGTCATCTCCACCCATTTCCCCACCCCTATTTCCACTTCTGTTTAATTTTCACCTAGCACACAACTTGGAGGGCACGTAGAAGGGCAGCCCGGGGAGGTCCTCTGGGAGTTTGATGCTTCTAGGGGGAGGGTGTTTGACACACTTCTCATCCCCCCTTTGGACACTGGACCCTAGGGAGGGATCTTTTCCCTTTTCCCGAAAGCCAACCTGCACACAACTTGGAGGGGGATGTATTAAAAGGAATGACAGGATTGCCCATTGGAAACAATGGGAGAGGCTTGAAGGCCCGTTTGTGCCCGTTTTTTTAATTAAAATCCTTGGGACACCACTCCTCCCAACAGATAAGCCAGCCAACCACCGAGCTGGCGTCCCTCTATGGGTCATGCATACCTGGAGTAGCCCAGTGGCAGCTAGCCAAAGGAGGTGGGAGAGCGGGGAGAAGAGAAAGGGGAGAGTGCAGTGTGCCCCATCCCTTGTTCATGCACTTGGCCAAGTAGATGGCAATTGGACGCCCCCTCCACAGGTCACAAGTGATGTCAACCACGATTAAGCAAAAAATGCAGGTTTTGGTTGTAGATGGAGAAAAAAGAATAGTGCAGAGGGCAGGGACACAAAATACAAAGTCAACCGTGAAGGCTCGACCGCTCGGATTCTCCGAAGTAAGCTACAGTGAGCTAGGACTATAGCGTTGTATGAGTGAGTGCTAGCTGATTTTAGTGACTTGTATTTTGATAAGTTTTAGAATTTAAACCTTTTTTTGGTTTCTATTATTTATTGTTATACTAACACTGTGTCATTTTTGAATAATAAAACTTTGCTTGGTTTGCTGAACTCAAGTGTGGAACCTGAGTCTATGCACCCCGGCGGAGAACCTCTAGCCTTAATCACACAGGGTTATTGTTGCTTTATCCCTTTATTTTCAAAACACAAACAATTGTGGGATTTTTTTAAACGTTACCTGTAAGTCACTCTGAGTGGTCTTTGGTGGGCCAAATTATGTCCAGAATCTTCAGCTGGTCTAAAACATGGCAGCCAGGCTACTGTTAATTGCAGGATGCCAGGGACTGTATCACCTTAGTTCCGAAAAACCTGTACTTGCAGACCATTTTTCTCCAGGCACAATTTAAAGTGCTAGTTCTTACTCTGAAGGTCAGTGTGGTATAGGCATTAGAGTGACAGTGTAGGATCTAGGAGATCCTGGTTTGAATCCTCACTCTGCCATGTGGGGTGACATAGGAACATAAGAAGAGCCCTGCTGGATCAGATCACTGTTCCATCTATTCCAGCATCCTGTCTCCCACAGCAACCAAACCAGTTCCTCTGGAGGTTCAACAACAGGGCATAGAGGCTGAGGCCTTCCAATGATGTTGCCTCCTGGTACTGGTATTCAGAGGTTTACTGCCCCAAATATGGAGGTTTCTTGGACCAATCACACACAGCCTAATCTACCTCATAGGGGTTTTTGAAAAGGGAGGAGGGGGGAATTATGCAAGCTGCTTTGGGTCTCCATTGTAGAGCATGGTAGGGTATAAAGAAAGTAAATGAATAAAAGACTTGGGACCAGGGTAGTTGAAAGATGATAGCCTACTAAAGTGTCTAGTCCACCAGCTATGATGTTCCACACAAGCCCTGTGCCCTATCTTCAGAGGTAAGACAAGTGGTGACCAGAGACCAGGCTTTTTCAGCGATGGCACCTTTTCTGTGGAATGTCCTTCCATCTGAAGCTCTCCAGGTGCCTACACTACTCTCTTTTAGGCACCAGACCAAATCCTTCCTTTCCACCCAGAATTTTAATTAAGGGGTAGCTCTTTTATGGGAGAGGCTGTGGCTCCGCAGTTGAACATTTGCTTGGCACAAGTAACATCTCAAGTTCAGTCCTCAGCATCTCCATAGTAGGTGATATGAGAGACATCTACCTAAGACTGGGGAAGCTGCTGCCAGTCTGAGTAGACAATACTGACCTTGATGGACTAGTAATTTGGTATAAGGCAATTTCATGTGTTCATGTGTAACACCATTTTTATAGTCTGCTTTTTCTCTGAAAATTGTAAAACTTGTGTTAAACTACTCAATGTTCTATTTTTTAATACCATGGCTGGGTTTTTAATGCTAAGTTGTCAATAAGAGCTTTAATGGTGTTTTATGTCTGTATGGTGTTGTCTTTTATTATACTTTGTAAGCGACCTTAGACAACTTCCCTGAAAAAGTAGCACCAACATTTTATAAATAAATAAGTAATAATAATAATACATTATAATAGAATTCCTTACCTATCCATTCTAACAAGTTCATGTGCACCTGCAAAATAATACAAAGTTGTTATCTATTCCATTTTTGTCTCACTCTTGCTGTAATGTCCATAGAATTGAATATATGAAAGGTGTCCCATTTTACAATAAGAATAACCCTGAGACTGGTGTGGCTCAGAGTAAGTCAGTGGCCCAAGCCAAGATGACCTAGCAAGCTGCATGATTGCAGGAGGTTGCTAACTGAAGCCCTATTTCCCTTCAAAATTTAGCTCATAAAATGGTAGGCATAAAAGGAACACAAACATCATCTAGTACATCCCACTTAATGCTAAAGAAAGATCCTTCCAGTACCAGCCTAAGAGACCTATCAAATTAGCAAGAGGGATCTAAGCATTCTATCTCAGAGCAAATATAAAGATACGTATTCCCAGGGGCAGTCTTAACCAATGGGCAACCAGGGCAGATGTCACAGGCCGCATGTTGTGGGGTTCCTCAACCACCCATGGCCCTTCCTTCCTCCCCAATGGGTGGGGTAAAGAAGAAGAGCAGGTTCCTGCTACTGCCACCACTTGAGCCTGCACTATCTGGGGCTTAAACAGCCAGCACCATGGTGCTGGCTTCCACCTGCCTCACACAGGATGAGGATTGCCCCTCAAGCAGGTGGCAGTGATTATGGGACCCCATCCTGTACTTTTGTCCAGAGCCCCAGAATTACTATGACTGTACCTGCATGTTACATTTTTTGCTTCTCCTAAGCAATTCCTTTATTTTTTGTTTGTTGGCTTGGCAATTTGGACTGGAGAAGTGGAAACTAGTAATCCCCATGACAGATACCTGATTTAAACATTTTAGCAGTGGTTTCAGCTGAATCTATTCCTTCACATTACTTGTTTTTCTCTTAATGAAAAGTTTTTAAAGACGAGGAAAAGCTAAATCCCAGCAGATTTTAGTGCATGTAACACAGGGATCTTGACCCTGTGGCTCCTCTTGCTTCTCCATTACAGACTTCCCATCTACAAGAGGGATTTTGCCAGTGCTCTTCAAATCTGATTCATGAACTGCTTCTGAGTGCTGAAAATATTGTAGGATTGTTATGGGGTGCTCTAAAAATTCAAAACCTTATTTATAATCTCATTTGAAATGCATTTTCCAAACAAAAAGGTTTCTGACACATGAACGTTCTATTGAGAGCCAGTTTGGTGTAGTGGTTAAGTGCGCGGACTCTAATCTGGGAGAAACAGGTTTGGTCCCCCACTCCGCCACTTGCACCTGCTGGATGGCCTTGGGCAAGCCATAGTTCTGGCACAGCTGTCCTTGAAAAAGAGCAGTTTCTGTCACAGCTCTCTTGGCCCCACCTACCTCACAGAGTGTCTGTTGTGGGGAGGGGAAGGGAAAGGAGTTTGTAAGCCGCTCTGAGACACCTTTGGGTAGTGAAGGGCAGGGTATAAATCCAATTTTTTATTATTATTATTTGTATCTATCCTCAGTGGCTGAATCCTTTGCTAAATGTCCATTGGCTTATATTCTTTGACACCATTCAAATGAGTACAGGATTAAACAGCATTTACCTAGAAAATGCTTTCAACAAGAACTAAGTTTGAGTCCAGTGTGCATGCACGCATGCTCTCGTGTGTATGCACGCATGCAAATTTTGTTCTATTGCTTCAGATGAACAACAAGAAATAGTTACAGAAAAGAATCAAGTAAACTCTGAACACAAAGTGTTAAGCCTGCATAGGTAAATAGTTAACTTGGTGGAGAAGACTGAGGGGTTTTATGATATTAGCAGAGGTCATTTCGGGGGGGGGCGCGGGGGAACACAGTTCCCCCGGGGGAGGTGCAGGGGGGCGGGGCACATTACGAAGCCCCACCGCCTGCTTGCTCGGCAGTGGAGCAGCAAGGCCGGCGGTGGCGGCCGGGACCGTTGGGGGCGGGGTGTGTGGCCTTATGACACATTTCCGGTGATGTCAGGGGGTGTGGCCTTATGACACACTTCCGGTGATGTCAGGGGGTGTGGCATATGCTAATGAGTTATGCTAATAAGTCCCCCTAGCTCTTTTTCTATGAAATGACCCCTGGATATTAGAGCTGTTAATCAGCAGGCATGTTTTATATTTTTTGACATTACAAGGCACATAACTTCACTGGTAGTTTGCATCTGGATTTCTGCAGTTCGTTAATGGCTTCTTTAAAAATAAATTGCTGTGAAGTGTGCTAATGGCTGTATTACTGTTAAAAGTACTGTTCAATATTTGTGCCAAGCATTACCAAAGAAGAATTTGTTTTAGTTTTCACCAACTTCACTGCACTTATTTGCACTTCTGATTATGTTTCTATTTCCTGCTTGCTAGTTGCACAGCAAATCTTTCAACACAGAACTACAAGCAATGTAGTTGTTATGCGCAGCATAGCCAGCTACCGAGTCAAAGACTGCCTTTCCCTTTAAAAGGTGTATAGATGATGTACAGATGATGCAGCTGTTCTCAATCCTCCAGTGGTTTCTTTGCTTATCTTCCTTCTCTGCTGGCTACCGGGCAGATGGCAACAGATGGCAGAGACTTGTGGGCAAATGTACTGGTGGAACTATAAGGTCCACAACAACTGCCTACTTTTTTCTCTGACTTCACACATTTCTGGTTCCACTTTTTAAGATTTCTGACTCTTTAATAACATACTATATGCTCACTTACATGACTTTCTTCTTTAGCAAAACTGTATGTCTTAAACAACTGGTTAATTGCCAACCACAGTTATAGTCACAGAACATTGGCTGCTTTGTGGCTATAAATTAAACCCAAGGATATTTTTTCCATGCTGCTGCTACTCCTAAGAACACTTTCCTGGAAGTAAACTCAGTGGACTAAAATGGAACTTACCTCTGAGTAGACCTGTTTAGGATTACTGTGGAGGGTGTGAACCTGATCCTTCAAGGGATCTACAACCCCACCCAGAACAGACTGTAAATCCCAGGATCAGTTTTACCTTCAACCAACAACAATTCTATCTTGTTGGGATTATGTTTCAGTTTATTTATCCTTTATTGTCCCCAAATGCCAGTTAGCATTGGTCACACCTTTATACTGTCCAGGTTGGAGCACCACAATGTGTTTTATGAGGGACCTTGTCTATAAAGTGTTCAGATGGTACAGCTGGTCCAGAATGTAGCAGTGGAGAGTTTTAATTGGGGTCTGCTGCACAGACCATGTTATTCTAATCTTTTATTAATTTCCCTGACTCCCATTTGATTTGTGGACCCAACTCAAAATGCTAGTACTGTCTTTTAAAGCTCCAGATGGTCTGAGACCAAGATATATTAAAGACTGCCTTCTCCCACATGAACCAGCCATTCACTCAGATAATCTTTGGAGGTTCTGCTGCCCGTTTTGCCACTCTCAGGTGTATAGCTCATGGTTATACAAGACAGGGCCTCCACTGTAGTGACACCTAGAATGTGCAAGGCACTCTCAAAGGACATTTGCCTGGCTTCTTCACAAATTGGTTCATAGATTGCTTTTAAATGGTGAGTTGAAACTTTTTTCATAGGACTTTTTGTTCCTCCTTTTCCTTATTAGTTTTATTTTTGTTTCAGTTTTCTGCTGTAATTATGTCATTAAACTGATTTTAATGTGGCTTTGTAATGATTCCTTGTTTTTGTGAGTGTGTGTCTCTTTAAAAGTTTGGTTGCATGGATGTGGTAGATAGACTAGAGTGGTTGAGAGATGCAAGTGTGGTATGATTGGTGGTTGACAGAGAGGGGGAGGGTTTTTGGAAGTGAATCTGGTTGGATGAGTATGTGAGTCAGTCAAGAGTTTCAGTTACAAGTTGACAGTTGATGTACACAGGCAGTTCTGTGTGGAAGCAGTTAGAAGCTGACAGTTGAAGTTATTCAGTGAGAAAGAGAAATATAGCTGAAAGCTGAGTGTATCAGGAAAAGTAAAGTAAAGTTTAAGAGAAGAAAAGTTAAAGGAAAGTCTGAGTGTCATAACAAACTGGAGAGTGAAACAGTGAACATATATGGCATTGAGATAAACAAGTGTTACAAAGATACATGAAAAGATCCCTGTCAGTGAGGGATAAGATTGTGTGTGATACCACAGCAATTGTTCATCGTTTACACATTACTAGTTACAGTGTACCACCCTCTTATTTAATAGTTATTTCAATAAATCCTATTTTATCCAAATTTATACCAGCTCTGAATGACATACTTCCCAGGACCACATAGTTCCTCGTAAGCCTTAAACTCGGTCTACCAAACTAGTAAGAGCAAAAGTAAAAGCATAAAGGTTTGGAAATCCTTAAAATTTCCTGGTGGCAGCAGAATCTACCCTGTTAAACAAAATAAAGAGAACTTTTAAAGGGAAACTAGTCCTCCCCAATAAGGAGGACATCACAGGCTTGTATTCATTCTGATGTAAACTCTCTTGTAGACCACATGATGGATTAGGTGGATATAAATATATTAGCTAAGCTACCATGTCCCTTAACCATGTAGAACATTGCTCACATTCCCCTTCCTGTATGGTTTGCCCTAGTTATTTTGGCTCCTGCCCTCCTTTTGCATTTTCAGTGCTTCCTCTACTACATACTTCTTCATTTATCAGCATCTTTAATTTAAATATGTTGTAGATATTACTTGTAATTACTTTATGTGGAAAGATATAAGTAAGTTGGTAGATTTGGGAAATGGTGGTAAACCTCCTAATATTACTCCCCTGAATTTATCTTTACTGTAGTCAGAGGGACCCAAGGCAGGCCATATCACAAGTCCAGGCCCACCATGAAAGAGATTCAATCCATATCTGTAGCAGTGGAAGTCTTGGTTGGTCTTCAACTAGATAGTGGTCTTAGGGTTGCCAGGTCCCCTCGTCACTCTGGTGGGGGGATTTGGGGAGCATTCTGGGGGTGGGTGGAGATGCCCCCAAGCCCCTCCCTCAAGAGTGACCGCCCAGCCACCCCTCTCCCTCCCCTTCTGCCTGATTTAAAGGGCTTCAGTTGATCAGCGGGGACCACATGGTCTACTGATCAGCTGGAGAGACCTTTAAATCTAGCAGGACGGAGGGAAATTTTTTTGGGAAAGAGGCAGTTGCAGACTGCAAACTCAGCTTACAAAAAGACCCTTTGAAGAGGGAAATCTGCTCCATGTACTGCAGCACCCACCCTGCTTGCAAGTTTGTGGTCCGTGACCACCCCTCTCCCTCCCTCCTGCTAGATTTAAAGGGCCCTCCAACTGATCAGCAGGCCACCAATCAACTGAAGTCCTTTAAATCAGCGAGGAGGGGAGGGAGAGGGGTGACTGGGTGGGTGATCACTCTTGGCTTGGGGCAGGGCTTCCCTCACCGGCCAGCTGGCTGGGGGTGGATTAGAGCCCCCAAAAGTGGGGGAAACCCCACCCAGACCTGGGGGCTGGCAACACTAAGTGGTCTTCAGCCATGGGCTGGGACTCTCAGGTAGATCAGGGAGAGAGCAAGGGTGCAATGCCTCCTGCATGTTGTTGCATGCAAACTAAGAGCAGTAGCACGTAGGGGTGTGCATTCATATATACCCAAGCCTAAATTTAAACCCAGAATTAGCTCTTTGGGTTGGCCCAGGAATATCCAAAATGACCCAAAATATTCTCAAAATTCTGGACATGCCCTTGAGACTACTAAATCCCAAGCAAAGTTGCACAACAACACGAGCCTTTCTACTTAGCTTTGGATCAAATCCAAGAAGAGTGGGAAATCTATCTCCTTTACTTTCTTCAGTGCCCTGAATATAGTTTACAACTTAAATCTGAGCAGCAGATCAGACTTGACCTGCATCTTTCCCCTAGAGTCAAGGCAGAGGAAAAGTGCTTCCAGTCAAAGGTGTTTTTTTGTCTGTGGCAGCCCCAGGGCTTTGGAATAACCTTACCGTATCAGTGAGGAAGGAATCTTCTTTCCCAGTGCTAAAAAACTTTGTAAAACCATTTGAGGCTAACACATTATCTTTTCATTTTTCTTTGGCTGTTAATCCATATATAGTGTATTTTTTTTAAAAAAAGATATTTTAATTAACACTATAGTTTTAGCCTGTTTCGCAAAAATGGGACCACTCCATCGTACTAGAATTCAGCATAACATTGCAGAATCAATGACAGCAGGGAAAACACCTTTAAGGGAGCCGAACGCAGACAATACCTCATTTGAATGTCTAAAATAGAGTGTGGAAAGTACCAAAACATTGCTCAACAGAAACTGTTGTCTGCATAGAGCTACACTTGCTCCAGGAAACTACAATTAGGAAGAAAACAGGACGCATCCTCCCAGCAGATGTTAATGCAGAGCAGAGCAGATGTGATGTGAATACCATCTAAGCAGTGACCAAGTACTTGCCACACCCAGGCACAGAAAACAACGTGCTGATGTATATTTTATAGCTCTGTTAAAGAGCCCCAACCTTTTCTGTAATGTTTGTTTTAAAATTAGTGATCTTTTTCTAAGAAATATGTATGAACAGAAAAGAAACTGCCGCCTTGTCAGACTGTAAAAGCAGCTGATAGCCTTCTAAACCCTGTGGATTGTTGATCTTTAACAATTATGTCAGAACAAGTGAAGATAAATCCCATCTTCCCCCCCACTGATCTCTGCTTCCTCATCCTTTCTCCTCCTTTTTTGCCACCACCTTTTCATCTGTCACCACCATTCTTCCACTGCCGTGGCCTACTCTTTTCTCTCCCCTGCTGTTGCTGTCGTCCCCTCCTCCTTCCTTCCTGTTTTCTTGTTTCCTCCTCTTTCCTTACTTCACCCACTGTTGCCTTCCTGTTTCCTCCTCCTTTCTTACTTCTCCCACTGCTGCCTTCTCACCCTGCTTTTGCTGCTACCATTGCCATTTCCGTAATGTGAGTTGCCAGGCAACCCACAAAATGGCAAGTAAGATGTCATGACATTGCATCATGAGATCTCTTTTGGCCGTAAATTCAACAGGTTTGGGGTTTTTAAATCTTTTCCCCCTCCTAATCCATGGATAGCCCCCCCCCCAATTTTCCTAATCCATGGATGGGCATGACCCCCCCTGGTGGACCCCCTTTGCAGACGTATGATCCATACCCATAGGGAGCTATGTTCAGAATTAGATATAGAGAGAGCTTTGACCCAAATATTACAGTCCCAAAACTCAAAAGAGCTTTTACTTTGCAAGAATGAACATTCTTCCCTCAGCGGTTTTGGAGGGCAGATATAATAGAATATCATATTCTAACAGAACATGCAGATGCTCATCTGATAAAATCGAAACCATCGAACATATGATTATGGAGTGCCCTATATTCAGTGAGTGGAGGGTTAATTTAGTCACCCCTTTACTAAAAAAAATCAGAATTGCTAAATGTGCGAGCCCAGGTGATATGGCCCCTATTGGATACAAATGATCGTGTCACTCTCTCAGTGGCAAAATTCATAGGCACAATAATCAAATATAAGAAAAATAATACTGAGTAAACTCTTTTAAAATATTTTTGGTTCTAACATCTGCTTAAGGCAATAGCCATATGAGCAGTACTTGATAGATAGACCCAAATATTAGTTTTATTAAGAAGAAGAAGAAGAGATTGGATTTATACCCCGCCCTTCACTACCCAAAGGTGTCTCAGAGTGGCTTACAAACTCCTTCCCCTTCCCCTCCCCACAACAGACACCCTGTGACTCTCTAAGCTGTGGAGTCTTGTGAGCAAAAAATCTACTTTGTGAGCTACTGGCATTAAAGTTGTGAGCAAAAGATTTGGCTACTGCATAAATTAGTTTGCTCTGGAGCCATCCTTCCTGGTCTGAGACAAAAATGTGTGAGTCGGAGGCTAAAAAACTGTGAGCTAGCTCACAATAACTCAGCTTAGAGGGAACATTGCCCGTGAGGTAGGTGGAGCTGAGAGAGCTCTTGACAGAAACTGCTCTTTTTCAAGAACAGCTCTTATCAAAACTACGGCTTGCCCAAGGTCATCCAGCCAGGTGCAAGTGGAGGAGTGGGGAATCAAACCTGGTTCTCCCAGATTAGAGTCCGTGCACTTAACCACTATACCAAACTATAACACTATATCACAATTTGTATGAGATATTACATAAGCCCTACTTAAAATATGCTATAATAGCCTCCTCTTTTTGGCAAAAGGAAAATAGTTTATTTATTTATTTATTTCATTTATACCCCACCCTCCCCGCACGCAGGCTCAGGGCAGCTTACAAGGCACAAAGTGCAATAGAGATAAAACAGATTAAAACAGTTGAAGCTAAAATTCACAACTAACAGGATACATGAAAGACTATAATTACACACTCCCCCATTGCATATCAGGAGGAGGTCAGGAAGGGGGACGCCATGGGCCACGATGTTCCAATTGCTCCATCGGCCCAACCCAGCGGTACTGGACTGCAGTTACACCGTGGTGGACAAGGCAATAAATGATTAATAGATATTTTTCCTCTGTGCCCAAAGCTATCAAATCCATATCCTTTATTGTTAATGGTTTGTTTAACTTAATTTCAACCTAGGATTGCCAGATTTCAACCCAGAGTTCACATAGGTCTTTTACTCAGTGCCACAGCAGCAAAAGATGATGCACCCTCATCTCCTCCCTGGTTACTTTGCCTGTCTTCACATTCTACCTGCTCTAAGGCTAAAGATGTCCTGTTGTGGCTCCAGCATTTTGGAGGGAAAGGGGAACAAGCTGGCATGTCATTTTCTACTGCTACAGAGCCCTTCAAATCCCAGCTAAGGCCTTGCAACCCTCTTTCCACCCTCTGTGCATGAGTGTCATAGATGTAGTGGCATTACATATTAGAACCTGCTCTTCGAATGTCACAGTAAAGGAGAAGTAGACAGGTACACTGATTTGTATCAAACAATTAAACCTTTATAGGATAGTAAAAGGAATAAATTAACAAGTGATGAAGAGAAAGGGGGTGGATCACGATACATACGCCTGTTAGTGATGGCTTGTCTCTGCTTGTAAATAAGGAGCAGGATCAGGGGTAGGCACAAAATGCCCACAATGCAGGCCCCTGTTGCCAAAGCAGCTGCTGTGATGTCTGAAAAAAAGAATAAAGAAATGAGAGGCAAAATGAGCAGGCGAGCAAGAAATTCTTCCCATTGCTGGAGGTTAAAACTTGCACCTATTCTGAGTCATCAACTAACAGATGCCACCTGTGAGTTTAAGACATGGGGTGATTTCCCACAAGCGCTGCTCCGCACTCACTCCTCCCTTTTGCCCCGATGGTACGTGTCAATTTCACACATATTACTCGCGGACGCTGATGGCCGCGGAGCGCAACTATGCGCAAATAGACAAGGAGGAGTTGGCAATTGTGGCAGGGGTAAAAAAATTCCATAACTTCCATAACACGATTGTGACAGACCATAAGCCCCTTTTGGGCCTCCTGGCTGCTGACAAGCAAACGCCGCAAGTCATGTCTCCCCGGGTGCTCCGGTGGTCCCTTTTCCTGGTGGGGTACCAGTACCGCCTGGAGCACCGCCCGGGCAAAGCGATGGGCCACACCAACGCCCTGAGCAGACTGCCGCATTTTGCCCCGCAGCTTCGTGCGATTTTCCCCACATCTACTCAATCCTCAAAAAGCAGGATTGAGTAGACTTGGGGAAAATCACACCAAGCTGCTGGGCAAAATGCGGTTGCGCAGCAGCTTGTGTGAAATTGACACGTACCATCGGGCCAAAGAGAAGAGTGAGCGCGGAGCAGCGCTTGTGGGAAATCACCCATAGTAATGACAGCTTCACCTGGTTGGTTTCTGCCTGTAATGCAGCTGTTAAAGGTGCTGGATTCCAGACAGGCAAATGTGGCAATTCCAATTCTGTGTCCAGGATATAAATCACTAATGATTTTTTTTTTAAAAAAAAATAAAGCATCTAAGTAGTGAAGAGGCCAAGGTAATTTGTGGGGGAGATGGGTGGGTTTAAAACTGAATTATTAACCTCTCACCTGCCCTTAAAATACAAATGAATATATACATGTCAATGAATGTGAAATATGTATCTGGCTAATGAGTGAAAGAAAATTTAAAACCAACTCATTAGATACTGTTTAGGTTAAAAAAAATAGATGGTGGTGGTGGTGGTGATGAAGAGAGAGAGAGAGAGAGAGAGAAGATTAGATACAGTGTATGTGTGTGCGTAGTTCAGATTGGTTTGATGATTCAGTTTTAGTCTTGGGCTACTTTGGAGGAAGGGTTTCCAAAGTTTGTAGGACCTTCCCTAAGTTATTTTGAAGAATATTCCAGATAGCATCATTTTTAACAAGGGGACTTTGTTCAGTCCCATTAGTCCAGAGATAACAGCAAAAATGCTTCAGCTGCAAAGATTGGATTAGATCCAAAACCTACTGAAGTCAGTGAAAAGACACTTCCTTGTTTCATTGCTCTTTGGCTCACATCCATGACAAGCTAATGAAATATAATAACACTTAAAGCTTTGGGTTTTATTAACTAGACTGCTCACTCCTAAATTTTATTATGTTATAGCTTGGCCTGGTACACGTAGGCTTGCAAATATTGTTTATTCAGCACCTTGCTATCCATTTGCAGATTTAAATAAGTCAATGAAATCCAAATTCCAATAGTTCGATGCAAACCAGAAAAGTGCTTTATTTACAGATACTAAATTTTGTCCAGCATACATAAAGACCTAACTAAAAATGGAAACAGTAAAGTGGCAAGACTTGTTATAACCTGTCTGCCTGAATGGGAATTTGCTAAGATTAAGATAAGAGAGGTAGAAGAGAAAGTTTGCTCAAACCTCTGAAAGTGTATAGGTGAAGATTTGGGAAATGGAATTTATTCTTCCAACTTGTATACATTATTACAGTAATAGGATTACAGTGTCACAGCTGCTATTTCACATTTGATCCTGCTGTATGTTTGATTTAAAAGAGCTTCAGATACCATCATGCCAGGAACCCCAGGCTTAAAAGGTAAAGGTAAAGGTTCCCTTGCTCGAAAGCCAGTCGAGTCCGACTCTAGGGTTGCGGTGCTCATCTCCGTTTCAAAGCCGAAGACTTACATTTGACCTAAATCACTGCAATGAACTTTTACCCATCCCACTTAGGAATACCACTGAAATGAACGCCAAACTTGCAACTACATTTTCCTCGAGGAAGGGAAGGTACAAGAGAGTAAATTTTTTGTTATTCAGAAAAAAGTACAAAAGGGCTTTTGGAGCTGGGACAGAAATGTACAATGGTTCTTTGCACTCATAAATATTTGCCTCCATCCAAACCCCCTGTGTTGCTTCTGAAGGCGAAAAAACAATTAATCACTACTACAATTTTAAGATGTATTATGATTACTGATGGGCATTGTGCACAGATCAGCATAGCCCACAGAAGTATTATAATCTATATTAGATTTATACTAAACTGTGATCTGTATTAGTCATGGATGAGACTGACATATAAGTAGTGGGTTAAAAGGTAGGGAAGCATTAATGAAAGGGCAAATAAGGTCCAGGAAAGGTCTTGTTAAATTAAAAAAATAATGAGAAGGTGTGGCAGTTTCCAGCACAGGGAACTGCATGGCAGAAGGGAAGAAACAAAGAGAAGGGATGTCAAAGGGGATAAAACAGATAACATGATTAAGACTGAAAATAGAAATCTATGAGATATCATTAAAACCTCAAACATCCAAGCTGCTTAAACTGAATGTGCTACTTGCCAGTCTCTTAAAGACATAGTTTTTTTCCCCTTTAAAATAATCATTTTTCTACATATTTGCCTATTCTAAAGACAATAAAATAATAATGTTGCAAAAGGCAATCTTACTTTCATTTTCTCTGCTCACAGGATGGAACGTGCAGTTGGGAAGTGTGCCATTTGCTGTGGAAGTTTTTTTAAAAAGTTAATTTCATGGAAAATCAATTCTTGTTTTAATGATAAAAAACACAAAACTTTGATCAAAGTCAAGACAAAAGTCGAAGTTCAACAACGTTGACAAGGTGGGGGGTGGGGTTTCCCCCAATGGCCAGCTGACCAGCAGCAGACCCAAGCCTGCAAAAGTGGGGGATCCCCTCCGGGACTGGCAAGCCGAGACAGGCATGCAGTCCGCATAGTGAGTACGGTAGTCCCACACAAATTTTCTGAATAGGTGGTTAAAGATTATTTACTTCAACTTGTAATGTTGCCTCCGTGGGAGGTTTACAGTTCAATCCTAACAGGGTTGTCAACAGCCTGGAGAAATATCCCTTTAATAGAGATTTACTTGAATGTTATTTACCAAGTATTAATGAAATGTTATTTACCAGGTGATGTCACTTACCTTGATGCCATGAAAAGCTTCATCTGTCCATGTCCACACATTAAGCTTCTATTAAAGGGACAGGGCATTTTTCTCCAGGCCTGATGGCAACCCTAAATCCTAAACACAGTTACACCCTTCTAAGCCCAATGGACTTAGAAGAGTTTAATTGTGCTTAGGATATATGATTCAAAGGGTGGGGAAAGGAAACCCTTCAGACAAACAGACAAAAGTACAAAAGGGTGTGACAGGTGAAAAAGATGTACAATAAAACTACCTTGAACCAACTAACTGAAATGATAAATATATTCAAATTAACAATATCAATTAGAATATACCATTTTCATTAAATTTGAATCAAGCCATTGTCATCACTTGTTGTGAGCCACCTTGAAGTGGACAGGTGTGGCAGATTGCTGCTACCGACAGACCAGTATGCTTCCCTTGTCATCATAGTCATATGAGAAGTAGAAGTTCTGAACAAAAACCTTGAAAGTGGTAGTGGGTTGGGTTATCGCTGAGTCTCCTTAAGACTGAGGAATAGCTGATCAATAATATAGCTATATTATATACATAGTGGTTAATAAATGACTCTACTCGGTGGTCTTGCAGTCTCTCCCAAGAAGCAGTCTCTCACAGGTTGTAATGCTATAAGTGAAGACAGGGGCTTCCTCTGTGACAGGTATGACTTTCAGTCAGTTTTGGTTGGTGTGACAGCTATGGCCTTTCCTGAAAAATGAGATCTGACCATTGTAATCCATTGTAATGCAATTAACATAGCTTGAAGACAGTTCAGAAATTTCAGACAATTCAGAATGTGATCCCAAGACTGCTAATGAGCACAGGATATAGAAAACACATCAGTTCTGGGGGGGAAATTACTTCCCTGCCAATTAATCTTCTTTAAAGCCCTAAATGGTCTGAGCACAGGAAGGACTCCCTACTGCCATGTACACTTGCCTGCCAGTTCAGTACAGCATCAGAGGCCCATTTTTCATGGTTAGGAGGGTGACAACCACAGAGTCTTTTCCGTGATGTCACTTTGATTGTCACACATCCTGTCCATCACAGTTCACCTGACAAGCCCATTCAGTTTTAGGCATCAAGTGATTTGGTTGAGTTTTCTTGGTTGAGTTTAGCATTTGGGTGAGTGTTCTTCTTTCACTTTATATCTTCATTTCCATCTGCTGCAATTACTATATTATTATTTTAGTTCTGTTTTGTGTATTTCTAATGCTGCTTTTATCTACTTTTTTTTGGTAGGTTTCAGGTCCTTATCTTGATAGATCGGTTTAGAGTATGCAGGCAACAAGTGGGATTAAATTTGCTCTAGTTTACTATTATCCACACAAAATCCTAGTGTAATTTTTCTCTTAAAACCACAATATTTATCTGAGAGCATCAAGGTGCTACAGAAAGCATCATTTGTGGAAATCTATTTTACTGCTCTCAATTTGTTATGGTCTTGACGGATGGGTATCAGATGACTACTTCGGACACCAATCATCTTTTACAGATTGGGCCTGTTTGAAGGTTTTTCCCCTTAAAGTTAAAATTATACAATCTGATATCCAAGAGAGGACTCTTGTTTCCCACTGGGATAAACTTGTCGAGCAATGACTACAGTTCTTCAATCTTTCCTTGGATTCCAGTTACCAGACAGGAAGCTATAAGAATGATTAAGAAATGTCTATTTAAGTATGATTATAAGAGTACAATCTGTAGAGCACAACATAGTTCGTTCAATTTGTTGGTATTCTTCCACCTGGAGCGCTCCCTGATTACTGCTCATATTGACTGTTCCTTGCTATGTTGCCTTTATGTTGGCTAGGCTTCCTGACAGCAAGCAGACCACTCCCACCGAGTCAGCTTTGGGGTGGCTTCTCCAGCAGCCTCATTTAAATGGGGCTGCACAGGAAGCCAGCCCTACGCTCAGCTGAGCCAGTGAGAAGCAGACTGTTCCCCACAAGGTCAGCTTTGGGCTGGCTTCACTTGCAGCCTTGTTTAAATGATAAGGTATTTTTAGGGTATATTTCCAGCTGCAGTAGATTCGAATGCACACCCCTACTTAAGATATCATACTCTGATAGAGTATGTGACTGTGGAGCAAATAGTGTAGATACCCTCTATCATGTGACCTTTGAATGCAATAATTTTTCTGAGCCTAGAAATCTTTTAATTCCTTTGCTCCAAAATATAGATAATATGGAGACATTACCTCTTTTATTAGAAGATAAGAGCAGACCTATCACTATTTTAAGCTATGAAATTTTATGCATCTATGATAGATTTTCACAGCTAGTCAAATGGGGTCCAGCTTTTTCTATATTTTAGTAATCTGCTTAAAACTAATAAGTCAAGAAGCAGTATTAGGCAGTAGTAGCTTTTATCTACTTTTAATATTTGAAGTTTAATTTTTTTTAATGTGACATTATTCTTATGATGTTTTAACATTATGAGATTCCTCAAAGGTGTGGGTTTGATGCCTTTTGGTCTTGCTGTTTGTAGTACAATGAATTTTTAAGCTAGTGTTTATTATTTCAGGACCAAAAATTCTAGTATTTCTTGCATGGATTCTCCCAAATGTTAGTAAAGAAAGTTTGAAGTGAATAAATGGCAGGGGCTTACTAGGATGGTCTGGCTGCAGAGATTTATAGATACGGTTGGTATCCATCCAGGTGGGCAGCCATGTTGGTCTGAAGCAGTAGAACAAATTTTGAGTCCAGTGACACCTTAAGATCAACAAAGATTTATTCAAGGTATGAGCTCCGTGTGCATGCACACTTTTTCAAATACATTGGAATGGAAGGTAACAGTTCAGACTTATAGGCAGGCTGAACAGCAAATTAGTATGTAACAGGATGAAGATGTTTTAAGATATGCAAAGACAAAACTAAATAAGAAGCTAAGACTACAAAGTCAACAGTTGTTTTGATTTAATTAAGGGGGCAAGAACACTGAGGCAATAAATATGTCAAAATAGGAGATAAATGAGTGAGGTATCCTTTCTAATTGGGGGAAGTAAACTGCTATGTTGTCAGGCATGGATACTGTCAGGTCACAACGTGAAAGGGATTTGAGTATGTCCTGTGATAATTTGCATGTTTTTTGCTGAGAATAATCACACCCAATCCAACCTTGACTTCACTTTTTAAACACAAGTCTTGAGCACGTTAAACAGGGCTCTGCCATTGTTATCTTGATTTGTTGTTGCATTGGTGCCTTTTTAATGGCACTTTCTTCCTATGAATAGTCATCACAGACAGTTGGGGATCATGCTGTAAACTTGACAAGTTTACAGCCAGTCAGGGTTAGTAACATGACAATGTCATTAAACCAGATAAGGCACTACTTCCTGGATTAGAATTTATCTTGTTCAGAATAAACTTCCCCTTTGTTTTTTCCCCCCATTGGTAGTCTACATATCATGATCAGTCCACTCATTTGCCCAGGTGATTCTAAAGAAATATGATGAGGGGACAAAGGATACATGACTTTAGTTGCACTTGGTTTGTGTACAGAGTTCACTTACCTTTTTGTATACGAAGTTCCATGAAGCCATGAGCATGTTGCTGGATATGTGCCTTGTTGTGCTCCTTCTTAGTCTCTATGACATAACAGCAGTAGCTCCCACTGTCCTGCAGAGTAAGGTGTGCCATGGTGATATGGAATGTCCCATGGTGATCCGAGGAGGTCTCTAGACCATGATGCTTTGCTGGTTGGCCATGGACAGACTCCTCAGCTGTGATGTTACTGAGAAGTCCACGTTGTTTCCCTGCGTCACGATGCAGCTCCCTCTCTGTGACATTGCGGATGTGCTTTTTCTCAGAACAACTGTGATCATTCTGGCTGCTGAAGTACCACAATTTGTAAAAGACATCATGCCGGTCAACAAAAGGTGCACTGATCTTGCAAGTCAATGTAACGTTTTGGCCTTCAGGACAGACATAAAGTGAGTAAGGAGTGGTGACTTGGAAGGTTGACTGTACTATATGGAGAGAGAAAGGAACATCAGATAAATATTTTGTAAATGATGCAACGTGCTTATGGCAAACAGAGAGAAGCATAAACTTTCCAGTTCAGCATGAAAATAAACAGATATGCAAATATTCACAGGGTCACATAGCATGCTATTGCCCGTAGTAACCATATAAGTGCCTTCTCAATTGTGCCCTCCCCCCCGCTTGTGGAATGGCCTGCTGAGGAGATCAGGAGGGCTCCCACTCGCTTTCTGCAAATTATGCAAAACTAAATTATTCAAGAGGGTTTTTCTATGAAAGCATCAGAGTAGCACCGTGCAAAAACTATTCAGAAAGTTACTTGGATGAATTATTAAGGACTGTGGTCTATATTATTGCATATGCTTTGCTTTAAGTAGAATCCTACTATATAACTTTGCATCATTTAATGTCATGTTAATACTTAATGCAGAAGTACCTCAATTTATAAAAGACATCATGCTGGTCAACAAAAGGTGCACTGATCTTGCAAGTCAATGTAACATTTTGACCTTCAGGACAGACGTAAAGTGAGTAAGGAGTGGTGATTTGGAAGGTTGACTATACTATTTGTTGACTGTACTATCTGTTTTGTAGATTTCTGGTTGGTTCTACAACCCTACTTCCAACTGCATTGTTTATTGTGTAATCTGCCTTGAGTCTCAGAAAAGCAGACTTGAATAAATAAATACAAATATTATGATGAAGCTAGAACACTGCTCTAGCTTCGGACTGGAATGAAGTTTTCACTGTTAAATCCTGCACTCTGTTCTAAGTAGCTTATTTTACCTTGGATCAGTCAGTCACATTTTCTCTTGATAGTCATCTTCTTCATACACAATAATAATAGAATCATAGAATTGGAATGGACCTCAAGGGTCATCTAGTCCAACCCCCTGCACAATGCAGGAAATTCACAAATACCTCCCCCCCATACCTGCAGTGACCACTGTTCAATGCCCAGAAGATGACAAATAAACAAAACAAAACTCCAGCATCTCCAGCCAAAATGGTCTGCAGAAAAATTGCTTCCTGACCCCAAAGTGGTGATCAGCATTTCCCTGGGCATGTAAGAAAGGGCCACAAGAACTAAGCACTGATGCAACCCTTCCTGCCCTCCCTCTCATGATCTGCTTAAGTTCACAGAATCAGCACGGCGGTCAGATGGCCATCTAGCCTACAAAATAATACCTACAAAAACCTTTATTCAAAATCCTACAGTCCAAGAAATGATAATTCTATATGGTTGCCATCACCTTGGTGGGGCCAGGGGATCCCCCGATTTCAGGGGGGCTAATCTGCTGCTGGCCAGATGGCTGGTGGGGGAAGCCCCACCCCCAAACAGTAGTGTCCCTGGGGGACACTGCTGACACAATTATGTCACAGGTAGTGACATCATCACGCTGGGGCCATTGCACCGTGACACTCCAGCATTTGGGGGGCAGAGTTTTTGCCCCAAACACAGCATCGCTGCACAATGGCCCTAGCATGATGACATCACTACTGGTGACATTATCGCTTCATGCATGTGGCAGAAGAATCCTGGAGAGGAGCCTGGAGCCCCCCACCAGACAGAAGGTGGCAGAAGCAACTCTATAATTCTAGCAGCTCACAAAATTTTAATATCTCCAAAGGACAAAAATAGGCATGCTGACTCAGCAGACCCATATACCAGAAAACAGGAACTGTCTCTGGTAAAGAGAAACAGTGGGAAATGTATGGGCAAGACCAAGTCCGCAGATTGTAGGTCTTAACATGGAGCAGAGGAACTCTGATGCAGCTGGAAACACTCCCCTGTGTTTTTATGAGCATATGATGTCCCCAGTGAGAAAGTGTTATTGGAAGATTTGAAATTTTCTTTATGGGAGATGCTAATGAGGGATATGTGTAAAGATAATGTAGTGAAAGAGGGTGATGAATGCGGCTGTGCTGATTGACTTAAGCTGTGCAGCAGGTATACCTGATAACCACAGTTCCCTCTAAGCTGCGCTAGAGGGTGCTGACACACAACATTTCACAGGGCTGCTCAGAGCATTTTAGCTTCAACTCACAATAATGGGAGCACATCATTTTGGGGCCCGTAGAATTGGACCCCCTGGTCCAATCTTTTTGAAACTTGGGGGGGGGGGGTTGAGGACAAGGACCAGCAGCTATGCTGCAAATTTGGTTCCTCTGCCTCAGTGAGCAGGCCCCCAGAGCCCCAGATACCCCCAGATCAATTCTCCATTTTAGCCTATGGGGCTCATTGACTATAATGGTCCCCATAGGCTATAACTGAGCAAGAATTACTTCTTCTTTTTGCACACCCCTATTATGCTTTTCAGTATGATTTGTAAGCTGCCTTGAGTCACATGGAAAAGTGGGATATAAATATTTGAATGAGTAAGTAGTTTAGGCAGGTTAATAACATTTAAGCAACTTCCTGATAGGTTAGGCATGGTTCTAACAGTGATTCTTCCACCTCTGTTATACTTGACCTGTAATGCTGGTTATCATATTTCACTAAAAAAACCAAAACAGACTGCAAGAGTTTTTTCTCCCTGCTGGTATGTTTTCTAAGGGTCAGCGCAAGGCGAAGGTCCAAGCCCAGGTCTACCAATATAGTGGAAAGGGAAGGGTTAGACCTATTATCCAGAGGCCAAGTCTACCAGTATAGTGGTCAGGGGTGGGTAACCTGTTCTCTGGAGGCCAGGTCTACCAATATAGTGGAAAAGAATGGGAGACCTGTTCTCCAGAGGCTCAGTCTACCAATATAGTGGAAAGGGGCAGGGGGACCTGTTCTCTGGAGGCCTGGCTGCCCCTGTAGAGGACAACATTTTGTGTAATGAAATTCAACGAATCTGTTTTCTCTTATAATGTTTAAATTATTCTTTAAAATAATTCATTCTGAGAGTTTTATAAGGTTATGGAAATAATCTTCTCAAAATAATTTATGTAATAGTCAAATGTAGACTCGCTACTACCACTACTAGCTTTTTTTTCTCAAAAGGTAAAAATTTTCCTCACAACACTGTGGAGGTTAACAGGAACTCGCCCGCCCCCCCCCCCCCCGATTTTTGTGCCATTTTTCCTTCACTGGCCAGCTGATTGGCAGCAAGGGGTGGCAGCTAGGGTGGGGGTCCCCCGCCCTCAGCAAGGGGGGGGCTGGCAGCCCTACTTTCAGGGAATGCATGTGATCTAGAAAAGACAAAGTGCATGAACTTCTGTATCTACTCCTCTAGAGCCAGAGCCCAACCTTTCACTGCTTTGCTCACCTTCCAGCAAAGCAACATGCAGGAAGCCCTTCATTTTAGCCTGTCCCTGGATAGCTTTTTTGAGGGGATAGAATATTTCTGACCATCTTAGAAAAGCTGAAAGCTCACTTTCTCTACATCTGTGGATATTACGTTCTTCATGGTACTTTAAGGTTCCAGTCTAGTATTACTGTATTACTATCTCAAGTGATTAGGGTTGCCGGGTCTCCTGCCCCAGTAGAAGACCTCCCAGTCACCCAGTTTGTTGACTGCCACCACCTGAAGCACCATTGGAAAGCGTGGAGGGTGGCAGCATGTGATTTTCACCAGACATGGCATCATGGGACAATCTCTGATTTACAATAACTCTATGGCAAATTCTAGAATGTAAACAATCAGCAATTATACAGTAAACATGAAAAGATCAAAGAAAACTGTAAAAAGACACTAAGAAAAAATATGGAACAATTTACTAATGAGTTACACAAGTATAACTGGTAATAATACAACTAGGAATACCACTTAAGTGGTATTTTACAAAAATTCAACTGGTAAATCCTATCTTTTATTTCAGAAGTCCAACAGGTAAGTTATCGCCAATCCAACAAGTAAGTCTACAATTTCTCAATAATACAACCGATGCAGTGTTTACAAAAATCCCACAGGTGAAACCAATATTTATACAGGTAAGTTTTCAACAGTCCAACTGGTAAGGAGACAATATATCCAACAGGCAAGTCTACACTGAATGACAAAGACTCTGGATTCCATAACTTCATTTTGAATAGTCTTCCTCAGTAGAGGCTGATTAGGGAACTCTTAAAGGACTCATCATTGTTTTTAAGGTAAACAACAGCAGCAAAACAGCTTTCCAATTTATCAAAAGAAATATATTAATAGGGCAGCCAGTCAATATTCAATGAGGAAAAACCTTCAAAGTCTTATGTTGCTAGTATACCTCACTGATGTTGAAAACTTACCTGTATAAATATTGGTTTCACCTGTGGGATTTTTGTAAACACTACATCTGTTCTAAATTCTAGAGTGTCCCATGATTCCATTTCTGGTTTTCACAGGAAGTGATGTCAGTGCACCAGCATGATGTTGCCATGCTAGTCTCCACCCCCAAATGCTCCCAGGCAACCCTACAAGTGACTAACACAAGATTGTCCACTAACTTTCATGGTTGAATGATTATTCAAACCCAGTTCTTCCAGGTCCTCATCTCTGACTATTACACCACACTAGTTCTGAAAGAATTGTGCATTATGTTTGCTGCCCTTTGCAACTTCTAGGAAAAGGAATTACTTAATTAAAAGTTGCAAAAACTTGTATCTTGATCCTGTCCATGTGTTTTTTGAGGATTGAGTAGACGCGGGGGAAATTGCACGAAGCTGCGGGGCAAAATGTGGCCGTGCAGCAGCTTGTGTGAAATTGACATGTACCATCGGGGCAAAAGGGAGGAGTGAGCGCTGAGCAGCACTTGTGGGAAATCACCCAGTATTTATTCCAATAGAAGCTTTTCTGAGTCACACGTCGTCATATGCATCAAGTGTATCAGATCCATTAGCCAGAAACATTTCTACTTTCAGCTACCATCCCCCCCAAAAAAAAATAACAGCAAGATAGGAGGGTGGAAGATGATAGAGAGATGTTTGGGATTTCTCACTCACTACTGGTGCTAGTATCTTAGTATCACCCATGCCTTGAGTGTAAGGAAATGAGAGGGGATATAAATATTACAATTGGGGACCAGTGCTAATAGCAGGGGGATCCATTCAGCCCCGTAGCCAGGAATTTTTTCGGGAAGGCACCGGAGCACCAGAGGGGGAGGGCAGTAATTAAATTAAATTGACCGGTTGCATGTAATTCCCAAGCCCTCTGGATGCACCTCCCAGCCTGGTGTGTGTGTCTCCGGTGCATTCTCTTGACTTGTATGCAGAAGAAAGTGCAGGACTTTCGACTCTTTCTTTTCACTTGCTCTTTTCCCCTTTTAGTGTTGCAATTGGTTTGCTATTCTTTAAGCTCTCACAATGGCTTCTACTTTTTTTCTTGCTGCAGTGAACAAACGTGGCTGGGCTCTACTCTTTGAAAGCTCAGGCGTAGAAGGTGCCTCTAGACTCTTGTCTTCCTGTTGTAATTTGTTCCTTTTCTATTCTGCTTTTATATTTTCCAACTTTACAAGGCGTGGCACACACACACACACACCCACGCTCTCTACATTTGCTTCCCCTTTCCTCATTCTTTGGATGTGACTGGGAGTCAGGCTGGCACAGGTGCAGTGGAGGGGAGGGAGTCTGGGAGCGTTTAAGCCATGCCACGCTGCTGTGCTGGCCCAAAGCTGGGGTAAGTGAGCAGAAGGAAGGAGGGTGGGGGTGCTGCAGATTCGCTGGCTACGGCCCTGCACCCTGCAGCTTCCTCCTAGAATTGGGGGCTCCTGTCTTCGGGCTGCTTTGAAATCACTTTAGTCCAGCGCAGCGGCCACATGGCACAGCCCAAGCAATACAAAGCAAGTGAAAGGGAAGACTGGGGTGGAGGCACTGCAGATTCAAAGGGGGACACTGCCCCCAGCTCCCCACCACTGGCTATGGCCCTGGATCCATTACACCTCCTATTTTTACCCCCCCCCCATCACTGCTGCCAGGCCAAGCTTC